TTCCCAGGAATAGGAAACAAGACCTCCCAGAGGGAAACTGCTGGGGCTCCCCACAAAGTTCATGGAAATACACATTATGAAAAGACCGCGCAATGAGCTTCGCAAGTTTTTGTATGAAAATAAACTTCTCTTCCATTTCTTTCTTTGAGAGGCAGAGAGAGTCAAAGAAATCTCCCATGCACTGGTTCACTCCCCTGCCCACAACGGCCAGGCCTGGCCAGGCTGAAGCCAGGAGTCAGGAGCTCAATCCAGGTCTCCCACGTGGGTGCCAGGAGCTCAGTTACATGAGCCATTACCTCTGCCTCCCAAGTTCTGCATTAGCAGGGAGCTTGAGCCAGAAACAGACCTGGGACCAAAGCCAGGCACTCCAATATGGATTCAGGGCTCTTTTCTTTTTCTTTCTTTTTTCCTTTTTTTTTTTTTTTTAAGATTTTATTGCTTTCATTTCAAGTTCCCTAACAGTCTTCCCTGCACCCTCCCTCTATCCTTATTTAAAAGGCAGAAAGACATAGAGAAAGAGATACTCCATCTGCTGGTTCACTCCCTAAATGCCCGCAACAGCCAGGGCTGGGCCAGCCAAAGCCAGGAGCCTGGAACTCTATCTGGGTCTCCCATGTGGGTGGCAGGGACCCAAGTACACAAGCCACCACTTGCTGCCTCGCAGAGCGCACATTAGCAGGAAGCTGGATCAGAAGTGGAGGAGCTGGGACTCGAACCCAGGCACTTCTGAGAGGGGAAGTGGGCACACTAAGTGGCATCCTGCTATGCGAAATGCGTACCCCAAACTTCTTTTTTAGCTCTATTTTCCATGCACTTTTGGCAGGACCCGTGTCCAAAGGCACCTCGTTCAGACCTGAGCAGTGCTGCAGTCACAGCTGTGAGGAAGAACAGGAGGAAGAGAAAGGCCTCTGCCCGGGGAGCGCTGACTGTCAACAACTGTTAGCTCCCGGGGGGCAGGAGTCGCTGGGCTCACCTCTAAGGTCTGCATGAGATTGGGCTTGATGGCGTCCTTCATGAGCACCGTCAGGGCTCCGCTCACCCCCTGCAACGCAAATGCACAAAGCATCACCTCCTCGCAGCCAAAGCCCAGCCTTCTGCAGCCAACCTTCAACGTGCCACTGTGCCCTTTAGCCACCTTGGACCCATTGGTATTTGCACCTGAACTTGACCGTCCCCCCCTCCCCGCCCCCTCCATCCCACCCCACCGCCTTGACACATTAGAAGGTATTAGTGATTTTAGGTATGGAGAACAGACAGGACAAAAATGAGAGTCAAGTGCAAGTTCCAGACAAACACAGAATTCTAGAAACAAGCATCTCCAATCTTGGTGGCTGACCGACGCGGAGGGTGTCTTGCAGAGTAGTTTATGGCAGGGAAAAGATAATCACTGGGTTATTTGTATCTAGGCAGAAATGGGTAGAACCCAGCTCCATGTGTTTTGCAAAGCTGAAACTGAACTTTTTATCAGAAGTTCAATATCAACTTCTCAACGTTAGGTCTCTCTTTTAAGCCACCCAACCACAGCTGCCACAAAGTAAAATAAAGCTTTGCTTCCCATTTATATACAACCTGAATTAGTTTCTAAATGCAAGTTTTGGGTGTTAAAATTTAAAAAGCATATTAACTGAAAACAGGAAGTTAAGATTTCCCCCTGTTTTCTAAATTCACCTGCTGTACCACTAATCATCAGCCAACTATTTTGGTGTCTGTTAACACAAACAGCCTTTGAAAACTTCATTGACAGGAATTCTTATTTCAAACCTCCTGTTACCGTGCAGAGAGTGCAGAAATAGCCCTGAGGTGAAGAACGAGCCCTGAACTGGCTAAAGAACTGTGCCAAGTGCCGTGTGTGTGGTGAGGCCTGTGAGGCGGCTGTGCGTCAGCGGAGGGGCCAGAGTGAGGCCGGGGTGACGCCACGCTCGGCCACTGCGGCCTCACTCTGGGTCTTGAGGCTCTCTGCAAAGCCAAGGCCTGCGCCTGCTCTGGGAGACACAGGACGGAGATGTGACTCCAGTCACCTGGCAGGTGTGGTCCCTTCCTGGCACATACAACCTGGTAGAGGAAGCACTTCTCACCCACTTCCCAACTATCTCGTAATTAGCAAGGCCTGGCCAAGTTAAAGAGCTTACTGCATCATCTTAAGAAAAATAAATAAATAAATAAATAAATGAAAGAAAGAAAGAAAGAAAGAAAGAAAGAAAGAAAGAAAGAAAGAAAGAAAGAAAGAAAGAGAAAGAAAGAAAACCAGCTTTTTAATCTGAGCGACAGGGAGAGAGCTCCAATTCACTGGCTCACTCCCCAAATGCCCACACAGCCAGGACTAGGCTGGGGCCAGAACCAGGAACCAGGAAGTCACTCCAGGTCTCCCACGTGAGTGCCAGAGACCAACGACCTGAGCCCCCACTGCTGACCTCCAGGGTCTACGCCAGTGGAAAGCCGGAGTCAGGAGCTGGTGCTGAGCCAGGTGTGGGGCGTGCAGCTTCGCCGGCCTCCGACCTGCCACGCCAACGACCACCCTCAGTTGCAGCACCTCACCGGGGCATAATTCTTGTTATCAGTGACCACGGAGAGGTGCAGGGACGACGGACACAGACGTGGACTCACCAGGTCTTCGGCACTAATGGGCTCCCCTTTCTTGCTCGATGCTACCACCATTTTGCCCAGTCTCTCTCTCATGTCCTCCAAAGAGCTGGTCAGAGCCAGGACAGCCATGATTTCACTGGCCACCGAGATGTCAAACTGGGCCTGTGGGCAGGAAGCAGACACAACAGCATTAAACCGGAAGCAGGAGTTGTAAAAGCTACCCTGTTAGGCAACCCAGGCTTAACCGAACAGCTTAAAAGGATGCAAACAGCAGAACACTTTGAGCAGCCAATTAAAAAAAAAATTCTAGTAAGAGCAACAAGCTACTAGCTTATAGTGTGGAATCAGGCAACTCTTGTGTCCTGCCCCACTACGGAAGAACTCGGAAGCTCTTATGTCAAAGTGGAAATAAAAAAGCAGGGATCTTTAAGCAGTTTATAGACAAGGATAGTCACTGGGGCTCTCCACCTCCAGGAGAGGTGCTGGGGGAAAACACGCAGGTGACACATGGGATCCACTGCAAAAGCTGACAGGAGCGCTCAAGCCCCACGCCCACTCACTTCCATTTTAACAGGGAGGAGGCACAGCCGCACCTGGCGGTGCCATCGGAACGGGGGGGTGGGGGGAGCAGCAGGATCACGTTCACATGAAGTTGTGAACAGTTACCGTCCGTGTGTGCCCTTTCTCCGTTGGAGCCTGTCCGATTGTGATCTTCCTCAGGAATCTATCATTGGTATCCAACACTGTGGGAGAAAGGGCACAGGAACACTTGTCAGCCAAAGCACCGCGAAGCCATGGGAAGCAGCAGAGCTTTAAAGCAACAAGGCCAACTGAACGATGGCCCCCTAATGTTTGATTTCAAAATCGACGGCAAAGCTGGAACAGAGGCTCAAGCTAAGAAACAATGCCCACATACCATGAATGTACAGGAATTATTTTTAAAGCATCAAGCTATGGAAGGGTTTGGTTTTATCCCATCTAGAGAATTAAATTAATTAATTCAACACCTGAAATCTCTTTTATAAGAAATTCTTATAATATTAGAAGAATATTATAATATTATAGTTATTATATAATACATTAATATTTAATATATAATATATTAAGATATATTATATATTAAATATATTATATAATATAATATATTATATAATATATATATATTATATAATATATATAATATATTATACATATATAATATATTATATAATATAATTATAATATATATATTATAATATAATTATAATATTATAATATTATAGTTATTATATAATACATTAATATTTAATATATAATATATTAAGATATATTATATAATATAATTATAATATTCTTCTAATATTATAAGAAAAATAGGCTGGCGTTGTGGTGTAAAGTGGGTAGTAAAGTCACCACGTGAGATGCCAGCATCCCATATGGGCATTAGTTTGAGTCCTGGCTGCTCCACTTCTGATCCAGTTCCCTGCCAATGGCCTGGGAAAAGCAGCAGAAGATGGCTCAAGTGTTTGGGCCCCTGTTACCCACACGAGAGAAGTGGATGATGTTCCTGGCTCCTGGCTTCAGCCTGGCCCAGCCCTGGCTATTGTGGCCACCTGGGGAGTAACCAGTGGATGGAAGGTCTCTCTTTCCCTTTCTCTCTGTAGTTCTGACTTCAAATAAGTAAATATTAAAAAAAAAAAAAAAGACATTTAAAGAAAAACAAATATTCTGCATGTGGCCCACAGGCCCCGGGGTGCGTTGTTCTTGGGAAAAATCACTGACCTGACACCACCCTGAGAAACACAAAAGCCATGGACTCAGGTCAAGTGCAGGTTACTCAGGTCAAGTGCAGTTGCCTTTTGGACACACACCGAGGAGTAGGCCTTTCCTTAGCGCATTATGAAGAAATCCTTCCTTCCTTCCTTCCTTCCTTCCTTCCTTCCTTCCTTCCTTCCTTCCTTCCTTCCTTCCTTCCTTCCTTTTTAAGAGCTACAGAGGACAGAGAGACACAGAGAGAAAGAGAGAGGTATCTTCCATCTGCTGGTTCACTCCCTAGTTGGCTGCAACGGCCCAGGCTGGCCCAGGCCAAAGCCAGGAGCCAGGAGCTTCATCTGGGTTTCCCATGTGGGTGCAGGGGCCCAAGCACTTGGGCTGTCCTCCACTGCTTTCCTAGGTATGTTAGCAGGGAGCTGGATTGGAAGTGGAGCAGCTGGGACTCAAACTGATGCCCACAGAGGACGCCAGCAATGCAGGTGGTAGCTTTACCCATTACGCCACAGTATTGGCCCCAGAAATCATTTCTATTCTGCTCTCAGAATAGCCGCCCAATTGTATAACCTTGGCAAAGATCAACCAATTCACCAACCCTAATCCCATCTCCCAGGACTCAGAACTGCTAATATTTTAATGCATTCCTAACTTTATTTATTCTTAAATAAGTTGTTTGCACCCCACTAGGACCAGCTCCAAAGGAGGAGTCATTCTATTCTCAAAGGCACAAAACACCGCCCAAGGGTTCTTGCCCACAGTACCAGTGCTCGGGCCGGACCTCAGTGAAGACTGCTCGCTCTTCCAGCAGTGTAACACCATCACAGGCATCAAACCACCGCTGGATCAACTCTGGCTTTGGTATGCGTTGTATAACAGGAAATACATTTGAACTTTGTCTCAAATTCCTGACTCAAGACTCCTAGGGCCCTTGGAATTTCAAGGGGGACTGGAGTGTCCTGTTATTCATAACAAATCCCTTTGGATCTCACCTGGGTTCATGCTAATGAGGTGATTCAGAGCGAGTCTCCCAGTCTCAAGAGGGGCCAGGAGGGCCAGGTGATTAAAGGGCCTCATCCACTGATCTCAGAGCTGGGGATTAAACCCTATAAGAACTCCAGGACAGGGGGTGGTCTTGTGGTACTGTGGGTTAAGCCCTGACATGGGCTGCCCCCATCCAAAACTGGAGTGCTTGGATTGAGCCTTGCCTACTCCAACCCAGCTTCCTGCTACCCAGATTGAATTCCTGGCCTCCTGGGGCCAGCATTGTTGTGTACAACACTGGTATTCTGCATGGGCACCAGTTTGTGTCCCAGTTGCTCCACTGCAATCCAGCTCCTTGCTAATGGCCCAGGAAAGCAGCAGAAGATAGCTCAAATGTTTGGGTCCCTGCACCTACATGGGAGACACGGAAGAAGCTCCTGGCTCCTGGCTTCAGATCGGCCCAGCCCGCACTGTTGTGGCCATCTGGGGAATGAACCAGCAGATGGAAGATCTCTCTCTGTGTAACTCTGACTTTCAAAAAATATAAATAAATCTTAAAAAAAAAAAAAGAACCAGGCTCCTGACTCTCGGCTGAAGCCTGGCCTAGCCTGGCCTAGCCTGACCGAGCCTGGCTGGCTGATACAGAGTAAACCAGCAGATGGAAGATCTCTTTCTCCCTTTTCCCTAACTCTACCATTCGTTTAAATAAATCAAACTTTTTAAAAACTCTCTGGAACCACAAGATTTGATGAGCACCCAGGCTGGATGCTGGGAGAGGGATGCACCCTATGCACCTCCACTGGTGGTTCCTGGGTCGTGTCCTTTAAAACAAAGCAGCAAACCCAGGTAGAGCATTTCCGCAAGTTCTGTGAGCTGTCCCAGCAAACGATGAGCCCGAGGTCGTGAGAACAGCCGGTCAGAGGCACAGGGGACAACCTGGACTTGGGATTGGTATGTGAAGTAGAGGCAGCCTGGGGGACTGAGCCCTGAACCTGTGGGGTCTGCAGTTGGGCTCAACCGTGGGACACTCAAGTCAGGATCCGCCAGAGAACTGGACTGAACCACTGCGGAGGGAAGCCCAGGCCTCTGGTCTCAGAAGGGAAGGCCTGAGGGTCACGTGGTATGGGGAGAAAAGATGAGTTTCTGTTTCCGAACGCGATGCCAAACAGCAACAACGAACACAAAGTGAGAAACAGCAGCAAAGACCTGGGCAAGGAGCAGAAGCATTCTTAGGGCACTGGATTCCACAGCAAATCATTTTCCATAAACACCAATAATTTAAACACCAAAAGCAGTGTCTTACCCAGCAGTTGGACACACACACACACACACACAAGCAGTGAAGGATACAATGTGTTTTTGGAGCTGCCTCTTATTTTTTCAAAAAACACAGTGTTCAGTTCCCTTGTAACTAATTTTTCTGTGTAAGAGTCAGTTAACAGGTATGATCCCGTTTTTTCCTTCTACTTTGAAATTTTTCATTTTGTTTGAAAGGTAGAGAGAGAGCTGTCTGCTGGCTCACTCCCCACATGACCGCAGCAGCCAGTCTGGGTTTCTTTCCCAAGTGGGTGTCAGAGACCCAAGCTCTTGTGCCACATTCTGCTGCCTTCCAGGAAGCCGGCCGGGAAGCAGAGAAGCTGAGACGGGAGCCAGGCGCCTGGACGTGGGATGCAGGCTCCTCCAGCAGCCCCCTCTTGCCTGCCCCTGCTAGTACCTCCTCGGAAAGCAGAAATCAGACAGAAAGCAGAAGAAAATGAGACTTACAAATTTTTAAGTGACTCTTTGGTTTATTCTTTATAAAATATAGCACTGTTTAAAGCTACTGAGGCTAAAAGGAGGAACAGCACAGTGATCTTACACATTAAGTGTCATCTTAAAAATGCCATAAACTAAGTTACCCAGGCAATAGAAAAACACAAAACAGTTAATAAGGTAGTCTGTAGCCAAATCCTGCCTGACAGGGTGCAAACTGCTTCCCAGATAGATGAATGCACTGTTGGTACAAAAATAAAATTCCAAGCCATGCTGACTATACAGAGAAAAGCAACAAATGGCAGTGAGGCCAGCTAACTCACTAACCCACAAAGTACTTCAACCTGGAAGGCTGCTTCATTGTCACAAAAGAATTTGATAAATTGTGGTTTTAAAATGATCAGAGGAAGATAGAGAATTATAAGAAAAATCAAGTCACTTATGCCAGACAAGAGATCTGAAGATAAAGGGCATACATGATTCAAAAAGTAATTACACCTAATTGCTCTCTGCTTCATGACACCAAAACTTTCACATAAAATGAAACTTGCAAAATAAGTTATTTTTGGTTTGTACATGAACGTCCTTGAAACCACCCTCATTTCAATCAGCACTGAACAGACAGAAAAGGCTCAATCCGACAGAGAGAGATTTCATCACAGCTAACGGGAGAGAGAATGACAGAGGTGAAAAGAGAACCCGTATCACCATCTTGGTCACGCCTTTACCAGACCAAAACCGACACATCACACTGGCATTCGGGGCTGCACGTGACGGGCGGGGGTGAGCTGTTTAACCAAAACAAACGGTACCTCTTTGCCAAGTTATGGTTTCTGGATCAATATCGAGTCTTGCAAATCTGTTTATCTCTTCGTCTGTCAGTGTGGTGGGGTCTGTCTTTTCAATGCCTAGTCTCTGATGAAGGAGGAAAGATAAAAAGGCAAAACAAATATAATCAATAAGAAAATCATTTTTAAACTTAAAATAAATGTGTCTTCCGATTGCATCTTCCATGAAGTGTTTGAAATGCCCTCCTCATATATTTGATATGAAGACATTTCAAACACTTCATGCAAACATGCAATCAGAAGACACATTTATTTTGGCACAAAAATGTCTGAAATCCATGCCTACATGGGGGTTTTCAAAAAGAAAAAAAATGCGTTCTATGAAAAAACTATGCATGGGGCTCAAAAATTCCTCTGGCCCAAAATAAACTTCTCTTTTAATTCCATTTTTCTACCAAGTCTTTGAAGTCCCCTGGCAGAGCCCTCCCCAGGGAACGCAACTCATCTTCAACTCAGCCAGGAAAGCTGTGACCCACTGGCTGAAGTGGACTCGGCCTCCCACTCACACATGACCGAAGGTCCCTGTGACCGAGCCCAGGGGCATTTCCCACGCCCGGCCCCGAGGAAGCCTCCCAAGACAGCCACCCACGACTTCCCTGCCGCCACACCCAGGGCCACTGAGGAAGAGTGACCTGCGGAGCTCCCAAAGGTTCAGGAAGGCCTTTCCTCCTCACTGAGCCCGGGGGTCTTACTGAGTCAGGGTGTGGCTCGGCCATGCTCTGCCATGGAAAACGCTGACGAAGCCAGCGCCCCCTTCTGACTCATGCTGGGTCTGCGTGGGCCCCGCAAGCCCCGCTCTTCCCAGAGCTCCTTGCCTGTGCTACGAGGACCTCGTTCCAGAACCTCGGGTGTGGTTCCTCGCTGGCTTGTGAAATGGGGCTGTGCACCCCGAACATGACGCTGTTCAGGGACGCCAGGCTGGGGATCTGCTGAGGACAGCTCGCCTGCCCTTGTCCGAGCAATGGCGCTTCCGTGGTGACTTGGCCAAAGGCACCGTTACTCAGTACCACGGGGTACTTACCCGTAACCTTCGGATCTGGATGTCAGAGAACTTTCTCACTCCATTTACGGAGGGTACCAAGCGGTTAAAGAGAGCCTTAGAGAAAAGGAAGAGAAGGCCTTTCAGGTAAGAACGCACTGCATCGCTCCCGCACCATCGGTGCTCAGGCGGCCATCGCTACCTGGGCAGCTTCAGCCCCTGCCAAAGGGCCCGCGGGGTTCCCGGGGCCCAAGCACCCTACCTTGTCTGTCTGGGTCAGTTCATGGAACATCCGAGCATCGATGGCCGCAGCCACGAGGTTGTTGGCTGCGGTGATGGCGTGGATGTCACCGGTGAGGTGGAGATTGAACTACAAAAGAACAGAGGCCCCCTCAGGCTCCCGCCGCCCCCGTGCCTTCCCAGCCTCACGCTGTTACAACCAGAACTCTCTGTGTTAACGGCCAGCGGCGTCCTGATGGCAGAGGGTCCATGACCCCCAACACAGGAAGTCTCGCAGATGGGAGCGAGCGGCCACGCATCCTCGGAGGAAACTCTCCTACACGCGGAACTTGCAGGTCTCGCGCAAGGCTACGTCCCGCGACCAGAAATGCCTCACGGGGGCTCCACAACAGCAAGCGTTACTGGGGACAACTCAGCCCTGCCAACGGTGACCTGGAAGGAGCACAGTGTTCCCAGCCCTCGCGTGGGCACTCTGCACTCACTGTGTGGTGGGCTTCCCAGGATCATGCTCCATGTGATCACTTGGTTAAAAGGATCACTCCACTCAATGGCACACTCAGAAGCCAAGCTGTGCCCCAAGACTCAGATGGCCTCCCCTGTGTGCCACTTCTGCTGAGAAACAAGTCGTTTGCCCACCAAAAGCTCTAAGGAAAAGGCAGATCTCTGGAGGGGCAAAGACAGGAGAAAGGGGCTATTCCACCGAATTCTGGAAAACTTTACCTCTTCCATAGGAATGACCTGGGAGTAGCCACCTCCTGCAGCGCCACCTAGGGGACGGCAAGGGCAGAGACTTGTGTTAAGCTTGCGTCTCCAAGACTCCCAAACCACACAAAAGCAAATCAGTTTTTATAACTACTGGGCATGTTGTTTGTTTACTTTTTACAATCATTTGGAGAGATCTAAGTGTTTTCTAATTTTCTTCTACCACACTAGAACACTTGATCCTGTTCATGTTGAATTGTCTCTCAATTGAAATCTGAGTCTAAATGACAAAACCATGAACACACAGGTACATACCTACTCATTATCTTTAGAAACAGGTT